CAGCAGGGCTGTGAAGGTTGTTGGGAGGAGTAATGAGAGCAGAGTGCAGGATTGTTTTTAGGAATCTGCAGCACTCTTCCGGTCCCTTCCATCAGCCATGATCTGCCTGGTTTGCACTGATAAGCACAGAGACCCAGTGATGTCATAAGGTAAACAGGTTTTATTTTTAAATTTTATTAGCATATTGAAGTGGAAGGGAGGAGCCGGGGAAGGCAAAATATAAGCAGTTTAAACACTAGCTTTAATGTTTCACCAATTTATTTTATATTCTGTGGTTCTTCCTCTTTAAAGCTGAATTCCAGACAGAAATTAGACACGCATTAATGCAGCTCTATAGTCAGTATTACATACTTAGATGTATTATGTTATGAAAACAGTGCAGGTACCTGACTTTGATCTAGTGTCAGCCTATTACGGTCCCTGTACATCTGAGCTCAGACTGGGGAAGGGAGAAGCATCACAAGGAGGCAGTCAGTTGTGCTGCAGTAGAAGGAGCATGTTGATAAAAGGAGAGAGATGAGCTCACCAGTCCGCTGATTCTCCCTTCACTGTCCAGTCACAGTGTAGGGAAGGGGAGGAGACCTGTGTGTGTTACTGAACTCCAACAGAGAAAATGAGGTTTCCTGCTATATATATACACAGAGCGGGTAAAATGTGTTGAACACATCACCATTTTTCTCATTAAATATATTTCTATTAACATGACATTTTCACCACATGTCAGTAACAATCCATGCAATCCATACATACAAAGAAACCAAAACAAATAAGCTCAGAAATTTAAGTTTTGTGTAATAAAATGGAATGACACAGGGAAAAAGTATTGAACACAGGAAGAAAGGGAGGTGCAAAAGGACATGGAAAGCCAAGACACCAGCTGAAATGTCAGTAATTAGAAAGCAATCCTGCCCCTTGTCGGTGCAGATTAATATCAGCTGGTTCAGTCACAACTGATGGCTTATAAAAAGGTGCCACATTACCAAGGTGTTACCTCATTCCTGTAGAGCTCTCTCAAGAGCTTTGCAACCTTATACTGATGGCATTGGTTACAGAAGGATTTCTAAACTTCTGAAAGTTCTAGTGAGCACTGTTGGGGCCATAATCCGGTAGTGGAAAGGACATTTTTACCATAAACTGGCCAGAACCAGGTGCTCCTCGCAAGATTTCTGAAAGAGTGAAAAGTATTATCAGAAGAGTCGTCCAAGAGCCACAAGGACCACTTGTAGAGAGCTTCAGAAAGACCTGGAATTAGCAAGAACAATTGTTTCAAAGAAAACAATAAGTCATGCACTCTGCCGTCATGCCCTGCATGCACACTCATCACACAGGACTCCATTACTGAAGAAAAAGCATGTTGAAGCTCATTTAACGTTTGCTGCACAACATTTAGACAAGTCTGTGAAATACTGGGAGAATATAGTCTGGTCAGATGAGACCAAAATTGAACTTTTTGGATGCCATAATACACACCATGTTTGGAGGTTAAATGGCACTGCACATCACCCCAAAACACCATACCAACAGTGAAGTTTGGTGGTGTTGAACATCATTGTGTGGGGCTGTTTTTCAGCATACAGTACAGGCAAACTTCATATAATTGAAGGAAGGATGAATGTAAAAATGTACCAAGACATTCTTGATAAAAATCTGCTGCCATCTACCAGGATGATGAAGCTGAAATGAGGATGGACATTTCAGCAATACAATGATCCCAAATACAAAGCTAAGGAAACTCTCAATTGGTTTAAAAAAAGAGAAAATAATAAAGCTGCTACAATTGCCCAGCCAATCACCTGACTTGAATCCAATAGAAAATCTATGGAAAGAACTAAAGATCAGAGTTCATAGAAGAGGCCCACGGAACATTCATGATTTTGAAGACTTCTGTGTGGAAGAATGGGCCAAATCCACACCTGAGCAATACACGCCACTAGTTTCTCCATACAGGAGGCGTCTTAAAGCTTGTCATCACCAACAAAGATTTTGTACGAAGTATTGATTTCAGTTAGTGTGTTCTATACTTTTCCCTGTGTCATTCTATTTTATTACACATAGCTTAAGTTCTGAACTTATTTGTTTTGGTTTCTTTGTATGTATGGATTGCATGGGTTGTTACCAATGTGGTGAAAATTTCATGTCATCATCACCTTTAGAAATATATTTACTGAGAAAAATGGTGATGTGTTCAATACTTTACCCTCTGTATATACAAGGGTTGGATAAAAAAAAATGTAAACACTACAAGATTTGCAGGTGTGCAAGTGACAACATGTTTCGCATTGAAAGCGGAAATAATGTAAAATTCTTTTGCTTCTGCTGTATGATGAGACACCTAGCTAACAGGTGGGAAGCATCACTTTTCATCATTCAGGGGACTGAGATTGAGCTCCTCGGTCACTTTTGTAGCTGTTGTTTTTTTTTTTTTTTTTTTGTCTTTCGGTCAATTGCCCATGTTGAACGAGCCTATGCTCATCAGATGTTCCCCGAAAACTGTATATGCTGTGATAAACTTATATATTGAACCTCGCAACAAGTAAATTGGCTATAATCACAGAGGCACCAGCTAAGCGGCACCATCAATTTGCCCTCTTTGAAGCTCAGTAATCTCTGGCAAGCTCCGTATTACAAGCAGCGCACGCGGTGTGAATGACAAAAGTGCGACTTTCCACCTGTTAGCTAGGTGTCTCATCACACAGCGGGAGCAAGAGTGTTGTTTCACTTCCGTTTTCAACGCAAAATATGTTATCACTTTTACGCTTGCAAATCATGTAATATTTCCATATATTTTGTGTATTCCTGTATAGATAAATATTATGCGGATGCCCTGCTGCATTCTGAACACTGTAGATTGGCTGCTCTGCAAGAGTGCCATTCAGAGAATGCTTTGCATTTCCGATTTCAATGCAAGGCATTGTGACTGGATTAGGTGGGGAGGGAATACTCACCACCTTGTCCAATCAGAGAATGCTTTTGCATTCATTTAGAAAATGCAAAGCATTCTATGCATGGCAGCCATGCCGCGCGGCCAACCACCTGTGTTCAAAATGCAGTAGGGCAGCCGCTCAGCACAGGACCTGGAAGCAAGTGGTGATCACTGGAGTAGCACTGTCTACTTCAGCAATATCCAGCTTCCAGGAGCAATGGCCAGGTATTTTTCAGGTACTTGTATAGCGCTGTCAATTTACGCAGCGCTTTACATATATATTGTACATTCACATCAGTCCCTAACCATCAAGGGGTGTACAATCTAAGGTCCCTAACTCACATTTATATACAAGGGTCAATTTTAGACAGGATCCAATTAACCTACCAGCATGTCTTTGAAGTGTGGGAGGAAACCGGAGTCCCCGGAGGAAACCACGCAGGAACAGGGAGAACATGCAAACTCCAGGCAGAAGGTGCCGTGGCTGGGATTTGAACCAACGACCCTAGTACTGCCAGGCGGAAGTGATAACCATTTAGCCACTGTGCAGCCATGATAGAGATATATAGTTACATTAGGCCAGGCTGGACCAATGTAACTGTATAAAATATATCCATAACTGGAATTCAGCTTTAAACAATTGAAGGTTTAATATCAGTTTAAATTCCCTTTTTTTATGTTTAAAACTCTAAATTGTCACCTCTGCCGCTGGGAACACTTTATAGCCTTCCATTACCAGAGTTTGATTTATGCTAATTGCTGTTACACTTTCTTGCAAAACATTGACCAGTAAACAGTCTTGTTTGTTTGTTCATTGAAAGTGTTAAATAGCTATTTATCCATTGTTTTAATGAAGTTGCCTAAACACCTTTTCTTGTGTTGAGCACTTGCTAATTGGGCATTGCTGAGGCTATCTGATATGTATATAGCAGGAAGAGAAGTAAAATACCTGTGCAACAATCTGCTCTTTTTATTGCCTGTATTATGGATAGATAATGGGCCTTATCCAGGATCCCGGAGAGTTTTGATCTTCTGTCCCGCAGGTTATTAGAGTACTGCTACAGTAGTGCCTTTGTCTTACACTGCAATAAAATAAGTTCTTTCCTGGCCTCAGTGCCAGAGAGCAGACAAATATATCTGGCAAAGGTGAATAGACCATGTAGTGATTGTACGGATAGTAAGAAGTCTGCATGGGTAGCTTACAGCTTGTAATGAGGCCTAAGAGAGTCCCCCACCAATGGAGGGGCTAATCCCATTAATACAGGGCTGTGTTCATACAGCGTGTTGAGCTTTCTGCTGAACAGATGGTCCCAGGTTTGGTTTACAGCCAACGGCCAGTGCAGGAACACACAGCTAGCCTTTTGTGTCCCACTGAGTCAGCTGGGCACAGAATGGTTATACAGTACACACTGCAGGGTTCAGAACAGTTCTTTACAGTATCAAGAGGAAGTAATAGTTTATTTTTAACTGTTATCACCGTAGTGTTTACCTTTAAGGTCATTCAGAAACAACATTCCCATTCTTACAGTTTTAAAGAGGTATTTAAACTCTCTGATAAACTTCTTGTGTTCTTGCCTTTGCCTCTGCTTCACTGATATCAGTTAGCATTGTATGCAGTTCTCTGTGGAACACAGGACAACTATCACTGCGTTATGGAGATGAGTAGAGGAGGTGGTGTTCTCTAGTCCTAACACTACCTGCCTTAGGTGGTCAAAGCTGATTCTCTATAGAAACTGTGCAGTGGGTAAATGAAACATAAATATACATTGCTGGAGATACAGTGCTCGGCATAAAGGAGTACTACCCAAAACATTTGTTAGAAAACCTTTACTTTCCTTTCAGAATCAACATTTTCTATGGGACACTATACTTCAAAGTACTCCCACAAATGCTGGCCGTTGATTGCAGTCAAGATTTGTTAATTTGCAAACACAAAAAAGTATTTTTCTTAATAAATTCATTAAAGACCATGTTGCAAAATGAATACACCCCAATGAAAGTCTTCTGGGCAAAGCTAGATTGTAGAGAACAAAATCCTAATTAAGAGTTCAACTACAGGTGAGTAATTCATTAAACAGGTGTCCAGTAGACAGTTGATTATAAAAGGGCGTTACTTAACAAACAAAACCCCTTCCCATTTCTGGTTCAATAATTTTTTATTGCCGCAACAAAACGATACAACATAGTCCAATTTGCCCACACAGGGGAGACAGACAAAATCCAGTCAAACATACATGGGCAAAGAAATGTGCAACAATTATTTTAACAAGGTGGAAGCCGAAGAGCGACCACGCGGGTGAGACCGTTGGTACGTATGTACTTTCTGGGCCAACGTATAGTCCCAGAAAAAATAAGAACAAAGAGGAAGAAGATGGAGACAAGGAAGAGATCAAGTGGGGTGGGGGGTAGGTCCTGAAGGCTATGGAAGAATTTCATCTGGTATAGGAACCCAGGCTTGTTGGATGTAGCATAGGAAGAGTGTATGACCACCAGGGCATCCAGATTTACCCCTTCACATTTCATGCTTTCAGCAATGGCACCACATGGAAGAGAAATGTCACAAGGCCTGAGTAGATGATTTCTTTACACAAGAAAGGTGAAGGCTACAAGATCAGCAAAGCTTTACTTATAAGTCAGAATACTGTAGAAAAAGTGATACAAAAATTTAACACAGATGGAATTGCAACCATCTCACAGAAACGTCCAGGCCGCCTACAGAAGTTAACACCTCGACAGGATAGTCTTCTGATTTAAGAAGGGTTGAAGAATATCCCCATGCAAGTTCACTACAGTTAGCTAAAGTAGTAGAAAGCCAAACTGGGGTGATTGTTTCCTGTGACATAATATGGCGAACACTGCAGAGGAAGGGAATGCATGGCTGTCATCCACAAAGGAAGCATTGGTGTTGTCCTTGCAAATCATGGAGGTCATCCAAATACTAGATGTAGTAGTTTTTTGTTGTGGGGTGTATTCTTTTTTGCATCAACTAAGTTGGGTAAAACTGAAGATTTTGTAATCTAAGTTATGTTAACTTTACTTTTCATGTAATGAGCTAAACTGTTCTATTAAACTCAGTTTTGGCAAAATTTTGGAAATTGTTCTTGTGTTCATTGAGATATTGATTAAAATCTTACTTTTCAAAAGGGGTGTTCTCATTTATGCTGAGCACTGTAGCTGGGAGAATAGTGGTATTAAATCCCAAACCAAAAAAATTTAATCGATTGCAGCTTATCAATAATTAGATGAGATGAGACCCTCAGAGGAAGTCAGAATGACGAAACGTGTCAGGGCGAAACCATCCATGACGTCGGCATGTTCAGAGTCAGTGACGGTACCTCCCACACACAGAAGTGACAGTGTCGGCTGTGCGTGGAAGCGTGGTAAGATGTCCTACACGCTGAATATGCGGTGAATATGGATTCACCTATTTTAAATGCGCATTGTATCTTGCTTAATGTGGGTACTTTTTTAAGAGGGGGGGTAGTTATATGATTTTTGTTGTCCATTTTGTATGCATCGCATCTGTGACACTTACCTGATTGACGGTGATTGATGAATCTAAGAGGAGATTTGATATATTCTGTTATTCACCACCATTTGGTGATCATTAACTTTGATGGGGTGTCCGCCACCTAAGGCATAGAGGTGTTGGAGTGATCCTTTTTAAGTACAGAGATAATTCTTGGATGAACTAACAAGGTGGACTGGACTTTTGTAAAACACACTATATTGCATTTTGGTGGAAGAACTGTTCCCATTTATTTCTGCTTCCTTGTTTTCATTATACAAATGAGCTCATGTAGTATTGAATGTAGGTGAGTGCTGTTTTATGAGTCTATTTTACGCATATTTTACACATAAGCACATAGTTATAGGCTCTTGAGAGCATAGATCTGTTTTTCCCTTTATAATAATTAGATGAGGTTGTTGCATAGGTTTTTTTCTAAGCATTTTTAGAGCTGCAACTAGCGATTATTTTCATAGTCGATTCGTTGGCCAAGTATTGTTTCGATTATTGAATTAGTCGGATAAAAAAAATTGTGATGTATAATTTAGTTTAATATGTAAAAATACAATTTATTCTTGAAAATCTCTATGCAGTTAGGGCAGCACAGTGGCTAAATGGTTAGCACTTCTGCCTGGCAGTACTAGTATTGGTTCAAATCCCAGCCACGGCACCACCTGTCTGGAGTTTGCATGTTCTCCTGTGCTTGCTTGGGATTCCTCCGGGTAGTCTGGTTTCCTCCCACACTCCAAAGACATGCTGGTGAGTTAATTGGCTCCTGTCTAAATTGGCCCTAGTATGTGTATGTATGAATGTGAGTTAGGGACCTTAGATTGTACACCCCTTGATGGTTAGGGACTGATGTGAATGTACAATATACAGTCAGGTCCATAAATATTGGGACATCGACACAATTCTAACATTTAGGCTCTATACACCACCACAATGGATATGAAATGAACAAGATGAGCTTTAACTGCAGACTGTCAGCTTTAATTTGAGGGTATTTACATCCAAATCAGGTGAACGGTGTAGGAATTACAACAGTTTGCATATGTGCCTCCCACTTGTTAGGGGACCAAAAGTAATGGGACAATTTGCTTCTCAGCTGTTCCATGGCCAGGTGTATGTTATTCCCTCATTATCCCAATTACAATGAGCAGATAAAAGGTCCAGAGTTCATATCAAGTGTACTATTTGCATTTGGAATCTGTTGCTGTCAACTCTCAAGATGAGATCCAAAGAGCTGTCACTATCAGTGAAGCAAGCCATCATTAGGCTGAAAAAACAAAACAAACCCATCAGAGAGATAGCAGAAACATTAGGCGTGGCCAAAACAACTGTTTGGAACATTCTTAAAAAGAGAGAACGCATCGGTGAGCTCAGCAACACCAAAAGACCCAGAAGACCACAGAAAACTGTGGTGGATGACCAAAGAATTCTTTCCCTGGTGAAGAAAACGCCCTTCACAACAATTGGCCAGATCAAGAACACTCTCCAGGAGGTAGGTGTATGTGTGTCAAAGTCAACAATCAAGAGAAGACTTCACCAGAGTGAATACAGAGGGTTCACCACAAGATGTAAACCATTGGTGAGCCTCAAAAACAGGAAGGCCAGATTAGAGTTTGCCAAACGACATCTAGAAAAGCCTTCACAGTTCTGGAACAACATCCTATGGACAGATGAGACCGAGATCAACTTGAACCAGAGTGATGGGAAGAGAAGAGTATGGAGAAGGAAAGGAACTGCTCATGATCCTAAGCATACCACCTCATCAGTGAAGCATGGTGGTGGTAGTGTCATGGCGTGGGCATGTATGGCTGCCAATGGAACTAGTTCTCTTGTATTTATTGATGATGTGACTGCTGACAAAAGCAGCAGGATGAATTCTGAAGTGTTTCGGGCAATATTATCTGCTCATATTCAGCCAAATGCTTCAGAACTCATTGGACGCCACTTCACAGTGCAGATGGACAATGACCCAAAGCATACTGCAAAAGCAACCAAAGAGTTTTTTAAGGGAAAGAAGTGGAATGTTATGCAATGGCCAAGTCAATCACCTGACCTGAATCCGATTGAGCATGCATTTCACTTGCTGAAGACAAACCTGAAGGGAAAATGCCCCAAGAACAAGCAGGAACTGAAGACAGTTACAGTAGAGGCCTGGCAGAGCATCACCAGGGTTGAAACCCAGCGTCTGGTCATGTCTATGCGGTCCAGACTTCAGGCTGTAATTGCAAAGGATTTGCAACCAAGTATTAAAAAGTGAAAGTTTGATTTATGATTATTATTCTGTCCCATTACTTTTGATCCCTTAACAAGTGGGAGGCACATATGCAAACTGTTGTAATTCCTACACCGTTCACCTGATTTGGATGTAAATACCCTCAAATTAAAGCTGACAGTCTGCACTTAAAGTCCATCTTGTTCGTTTCATTTCAAATCCATTGTGGTGGTGTATAAAGCCAAAAATGTTAGAATTGTGTCGATGTCCCAATATTTATGGACCTGACTGTATATATTGTAAAACACTGCGTAAATTGACAGCACTATATAAGTATCTGAAATATGCAGTTGTACCACAGTGATGGGAAATTTCGAAGAGGAAGAATAGAAAACATTTCTCGATTGGACTAATTTTCGGATAGTGGGGTTGACTTAGGAAAGGCAAATAGACTGCAGTTGCTCCAAAGCTTAGTAAATGAAGTGAAGCTTCACTTTGCAAAGAAAATCCAATCACATGCAAGGAAAAAAAAAGCATTTTTTTTTTTGTTTGTGCACATGATTAGATGATGGAAGCTAGCAGAGCTTCCTCTCATTTACTAAGCTCTCGAGCAACTGTACATGCAGAGTTCACAGTCAATTCGCATTTGGTAAACCATCCCCTGTATGTGGTTTTCGTTCAGAATGACATTAATTTTAAAACTGAATGTTCAGCGCAAGTGAAATTTTCAAATGACGTTCATCCATTTGAATGTACAAATATTTGTACACATATTCTTCTCTGAAAATGGAAACGTCTATGGCCAGCAAAAGACATTTTTTTAGTAGTAGCAGCATGCTTTTGTTTTTTTTGTTTTTTTTAATCCCCTGCCATGAGGGGGTTAAAAGAACAAAAATTTGCCATTTTTTATAGTACAAAAACCGCACATAATCATTACTTTAGTGTGTGTGTTATACCAAGCGCTAGGATATAGGGTAGTTTTAACTAGGATTGGTCTGGTGATGTAATTCCTTTATATTAAAGTAGTACTAAAGGCTGAGACTTTTTTTCATGGATATAATCATTTTAAATATGATGCACAATACTAGTAATCTTTTACTTCTCTGGGTTCAGGTGCTGATTTTCCTGCACAGAACCCTTAAAGCGGAGTTCCACTGAAAACAAAGTCAGCAGCTACAAAAACTGTAGCTGCAATTTAAAGAATGGACACTTGTGTCCCTCGATCCCATGGTGTGCCCACCCCCCACTGCAGCCTGTTTCACTGGTCGGCCAGTGTTCCCAGTATCGGCATCTTCAGTGTGGGCAACCGCTGTGACAGCTTGTGGCTTCAGACTGATTTTACTGTTGTGGGTTTAGTAACACTTTAAAGTGATTTTAAAGGTTGGATTTTTTTTGTTTTTTTAGCAAACTTGTCATACTTACCTGCTCTGTGTAATGATTTTTATAGAGGGCCCCTATAGCATGGTAACAAAACCTCTGCCTTTAGTTATCACTTTAAATTGCTTCCTTCTCCTGCCCAGGATTACATGTCCCATTAGGCATTGCTCCTGACACATTCACAAGTTCTTAAGCACCTACTGACATGTATGAATCATGTACTGAGCTGCCTGTGCACTGCACTGTGTATACTGACATGTAAATAATAAGTAATACATTCTGTATGTAGGCCAACTAATCGGCTGACTAATCGATTATGAAAACATTTGACAACTATTTTCATTGATTATGTCAATTAGTTTCAGCCCTAGGCATTTTCAACTGGTGATCTGGTCAGTAACACACCCTCCTGTATTAGAGTGCTCTCAGTCTGGATGAAGGAACACAGGAGGCACCTAGTGACAGCCACATTGCCAATCTGTGGAAGGGAGTGTTGTATTAGCAGATTTAAATACACTAACACATTTGAAGACAAACTCCAGCTAATACTTTGTAAGCGGTTACAGCAAACTGCTTTTTTTTTTTCCCCTTTTTGGGATATATGTTTTACATAAAAGCTGATCATTGTAAGCACCCCCGCAAGTGTTCAATGGTTTGTTTCATCTCTGCAACTGATAAATTCTGCT